CTTATGGTATTTTGACTTGACCATGGAACGGAAATAATTTCTTATATTCGTACACTTTCTTGCGTTATAACACTGGCAATGTTCAAACATTCCTTATAACAAATCTTAAATTGTTAATCGTTTTATTCATTATAGTTTTTAAGCACAATATGACAGGTCGAAAATCCTATCCTGTTGATATAATAGGCCTGTACATTCGTGATGTTCTACATTTAGAGCAATTAATATTGTAAGGTTCCTACTTTGAATTAAAGTATGATAGAGCTGGGTCGGTTCTGAACGAGTCATTCCGAAGGAAACGATATCGCAGTAGGAATCTGAGGAATCGATTGCGACTGTAACGAATTGTTCAATTCCGGTGGTTTCGATTCCGATAATTTCGAATATATTCTATGATTGGGACTTTGATTCCTTAAAAACAGGTCGGTTCGAATTTGGACGAAGGTCCTCGAAATAAGGAACGACTTAAAACAGATGTTCTCAAACTTATTTCTTCTGCTGCCCACTTTGAGAATAAATTAGGGGTAGGGGGGCGGGCTTAGTCTGTATCAGTCCTTCTGAGAGTGCATGCCCTTGTGACATCTGAAGAGCGGAGGATAAAAATGACGCTCCCTAATTTACTCTCTTACCGCCCCCGTAGATTACCAACGCCCATTAGCATGGGCGCCTTCAGAGATGGGGCAGGGCTCCGAACCCCCCCTCCCCCCGGGAATTCGGTTGGTCCTTAAAATTTACATATTTAGCATAATTTTGTGGGGGCAATGTTCACTTTCAACAAAAAGTAATCTTTTGTCGATGATCGCCTCCTTCCTCCCTGAGAAAATGGGGGAGTTATCGCCCACTTTGAGAAACACTGATCTAAAAGATGATTTGTATGTAGTAAGGGAGTTTAGAGCATAGACGGTTCTTTGGGTGTAAAACCTTATAAGGTTTTACACCCAAATCCTGTCGCAAAATTTTCCACGTAGTGGAGTAACAGTGGCCCAATTGCTGCGAACGGCGGCGAATCGACATTTCATGGTCATCATTAACACTGGCGGATACAGCCGCAATATTTTTTTCAGTCCTCACTCTACGTCTGCGTGTTGGTGGTTTAATGTCCAATAATGTAAACTGGGTTCGAAATTTAGTCACAAGCTTCCGAATAGCTCCCTCAGTAGGCCGACCAAATTGCCCATAAATTGGAAGCAGTGCTCGATGCACTCTCTTAACCGAGCATGCATTTTGATAGTAAAATTCAATAATTTGCAAGCGTTGTTCGTCGATTCATAGTTAAATTATAGACCAAACTGAACAAGTTTGACAATGACACAAGACACGATTCACACGTCATCTGTCAAAAACAGTGTTGCCAAAAAGATACTAGCAAAAAATCACCCAATAAAAGCATGTGTTTTATTTGAAACAAAAGTATTAAATTAAAGTAAAATCCCTAAAGACACTTTATAATCGTATGATGTAACTTGCAACTATAAGTTAAAGCTTAAAAACATAATTTTTACACTTTATCAGCCGATGAACTGTTGTGTTTGTTAATTTATTTCCAGCTTTAGAAAATATTTTTTCGCATGGGAAAGAACTTCCAACAATGACTTTATAGAGATGTGAGTAATGTATATGTAATAATATAGCTTTCGCACATTTACCTACAGACGGCCAACAGCCTGCTTTTTTAGCAATCATCAGCACTGTCGAGGCTGAATGAACATGTCTTTCCACCAGCTAGAGACTTTTCTATATAAATTATGGTTGGCAAGATTTATGATTTTATCTTAAACATACTGTTGATCATTGAGTTCGCATCAACGTTGTAGGTAAGGAAATCTCACACTACACCTCAAATCGCCACCGGCGGTGTCGTTCTGTTCCGCAAACACAGTTTCGGATTTACGTGAGTCGGAATCTAAAGAACTCGGGGTCAGAATCAAAGGAATCGGAAACGTGAACGAATCGAAGGACTCGATTCCAAGGTCGGAAGGAATCGAAGGATTTGACTCATCTGTAGAATATGAGGTTTAAAGTTCGTCCAAGAGGAAGGATAGGCGGTTCTTTGTTTGGGAAACAAACCATTTATAAATGTCTTTTTTGACAAACGACGTAATACAGTTTCGTAAAATTGGAAATAAGCAGCTGAATGGAAGATTTAATAGAAATGGGGTACTATCTTCATAGACAAAGATACATTTCGTCCCCTTTCTCACGAAGTGACCTAACTGACAAAATACCAAAAATTGAGATAACCCGGGTATAGATGTATTATTCCATGCCGGTTAACCTGACGAAGAGGCATAACTATATATCTATTGGTGTAGGCAACATACCATTACACCTGGGTCTCTTATCTGGAAAGGTAAATATATAATTCCCACGAAGAGACCTTAATGATGATAGGTCCCTTAGTGTGCAATAATTCTTGTTATTATATGCACCTCGGTGGTCGAATCTTAGCCAAGTGAGGGAGACTCTGCCCACAGTGCAATTCATACTGCGCTAAGGGAGCTGGATATCTTTTTGAGCCCTCATAACTCTAACCGGTTTTTCGATAGGCCAGAAGTCGTCAACCTTATTTAGTAATCCCATTGAATTTTTTCACTGCAAGAAACTTTCAAAGATTTAAGAATGTTGTGCACACGGCAAACTGAGAAAGGCCAAAATATTAAATGGAGTTTATGGTAAGAAAAGACATGCCCACCAAAATATTTTCAAGTCTAGCCACCACGATACTAGTTATGACAGTATTGAATTTAAAAGCCTGATGACAAATGGTGATAATAACGGGTGATTTTTTAAGAGGTATAGGATTTGATTTTCAAAAAAACACAAAAATTAAAAAAACGATTAAATCTTTATTTGAGTCGATAGATCGGTCGATATAATTTAATGTTTAAAGATTATTTCATGTAAATGTTGGCCGCGGCTCCGCTTTAGATGGCCCATGCGCAAGGTCCAATTTTGGAACACTCCCTCCAACATATCGGCCGGTATCTCACGAATAAATGCTTCAATATTGGCTTCCAGTGCGTCAGTCGTTACTGGCTTATCCCTGTAGATATTAGCCTTAACATGGCCCACAAGAAATAGTCCAACGGCGTTAAATCACACGATCTAGGCGGCCAATTGACTGGCCCCAAACGTGAGATAAACTGTTCACCGAACTCCCTCTCAATAGGGCCATTGTTTCGTGTGCGGTGTGGCATGTGGCAACCGTCTTGTTGAAACCCATGTCAGCCAAGTCCAGCTCTTCCATTTTGGGCAAAAAAAAGATTGTTATCATCGCACGGTAGCGCTCGCCATTCACAGTTACGTTCCGGCCATTGTCGTCTTGAAGAAGTACGGCCCGATGATGCCACCGGCCCATAATCCACACCAAACAGTGATTTTTTTCGGGATGCATTGGTAGCTCTTGCAATTCTTCTGGCTGGTCTTCACTCCAGATGCGGCAATGTTGCTTGTTAACGTACCCATTCAACCAGAAATGAGCTTCGTCGCTGAACAAAATTTTTCGATAAAAATGTGGATCTTCCTCCAACTTTGCCAGCGCAGATTTACCGAATTGGAAACGTTGGGGAGGTCGTGTGGCTTCAATTCTTGCACCAGCTGTATCTTATAAGGTTTACACCCAAATCCTGTCGCAAAATTGTCCACGTAGTGGAGTAACAGAGGCCCAATTGCTGCGAACGGCGGTGAATCGACATTTCACGGTCATCACTAACACTGCCGGATACAGCCGCAATATTTTCTTCAGTCCTCACTCTACGTCTGCGTGTTGGTGGTTTAATGTCCAATAATGTAAACTGGGTTCGAAATTAGTCAAAAGCTTCCGAATAGCTCCCTCAGTAGGCCGACCAAATTGCCATAAATTGGAAGCAGTGCTCGATGCACTCTCTTAACCGAGCATGAATTTTGATAGTAAAATTCAATAATTTGCAAGCGTTGTTCGTTCGTAAGTCGAATCATTCGACAATGACACAAGACACGATTCACGCGTCATCTGTCAAAAACAGTGTTGCCAAAAAGATACTAGCAAACAAATCACCCATTATAAATGATATTAAACTGGAACAACTTTCTAAGGAAGTAAAAATAACAAGAAGAAGTACTCGACTTGATCTCGTTATGTGAAAATCCAACACCCGTTGCACGCATACCAGAATTCCGAAACTTTTTCAGAAATTTGCCCCACGAAATGGAATGAATTATTAATAATTTTGCCATTGTTTTATTGTGTATCATAATACATCAACATTAGCTGGTAATATATCAAAAGATAATGTTTAGTTGTTTTTTTTTTGTTTATATTTTAATAAAAATTGCTTTGACGTTCTGAGTTGTTTTCTGACCTCATCACCTAATATTTGTGTCATAATCTATATCAATTTTTGGCATGAACATTCAGGGAAATTTTGTAGGGGGTAGCCAAAATTCAAAAGTCGATCTGAACTTTTTTACATAAGCTATAAAAAATGAAACCATCAACAAATTTTCTGACACAATCGTCCCCTTTGCTGGACATAAAATTCTTTGCTTGTAAGTAAATTAAATAATCCTGTATATCTTAAAAAAGTATAATAACAAGAACTTTATAAAAATATATTTAGCTCTATCTGACAAGAAGCTTCTAAAAATTCTCACGAAGTGACCTGTGTGCGTTTTCCAATTTTTTCCAAAGTAACTTGATAAGCTACCACAAATATTGAAACAGCACATGATCGGCAATGAATATGGGCTGATACACTGGAATTTTCAATTCGGAAATACCTAAACTTTACATACAATGCTCATTCAACAACACGCTGATTTCGTTTCTCTTCCTCTCCTGTAAAATTTACTAAACGTTGGTTAGGACACTTCGTGAGAAAGCCGGCGATTTGTATTAGATGAACTCCACGAATAATGAAATGGATTATCCAGATCCATTTTTCAAGGATGATTCAGTTGATCCTTGTTTTCTCTGCGTATTTGTAGTTCATACTTTTATAAATACATTTAAATCCTTTTAGTTCCCGCCGAAGAAATCAGCCAACAGAATATGACGTTCACTCCGAATACTGATGGAATGTGATCACAGAGAATAAAGGTTATTTTCCCAACATCTCACCGAATGCTAGCTTCCGTGGCAGGAGTAGTCACATTCTTAGATCAGGGCATGGAAAATGTCACGCTAGAAGTCATTTCATCAAAGCTTTGGAGCGAAATAATACATTTGAACATTTCAAGGAAGCCTTTGATTCTCTTTCGTAGTAGTGAAAATGCTGAAGATATCATAATTCTTGGAGACGAGATATTGATGATCAGTCGACATACAGTGTTTTTGGATTGTCTTTAACTTCATGTATATCGTTTTTGAAATGGTAAAACTGTCTGCTCATTATAAAAAAAAACTTATTTTTGTAACAAATTGCTTGTGGAAATGTACTTCTTTTTTTAATTGGTTTTCTTTCAGAGCAGATCTATTTGATACACAAGTTTTGTAATCTTGATTTGGAGGAGTATATAAAATTTCGTTTTACAATAGATTTTTGCATACCTAAGTGACCGTATTTCCTTAACTACGTCGTTTACCTGTGGAAGGCAAAACCGTTAGCAGCAATTTGGTCTACAAGCGACCGCTGCTAAAGCCAACGACATTCAATTGCTAGTTTGTCAACACAGTGAAACATCCGGCAGGCAAAACGGATGCTGCTATATTCTCACCCACACAATAACTAATATGCACTCATGAGTAAGGTCAGCAATAGGTTACGATTAAACGAGAGCGCTTCTTTAACAGTTTGTAATTCATTATACAATAAAACGTTACTTGAAGTCATTGAAAGAGAAAACTACCGTTTTAAAAATATACGTAAGTTGCGATAATTTAGTTTTACTTTCTTGTTAAAGGAATTCACGTAGGGTAGACCATATTATACGAGTATGAGACATTAAAACATAATCGTTTTCCTAATATGTAATCTTAACATCATTTCTGTTACCTGTCGTCACAAAACTCATCACTATCCTCTGTTCATTTCTTCTTGTCTCCGCCACTCAACGAATTCGAGAAGATTAGAAGGAGTCAAGCCTATAATATGTTTAGATCGCTTTGCTTGTCGCCAAAATTGCGAAATTTTTTAATTCATCTGCTCACCAATGCCTACCAAAGTGAGAGCGTTGTATCAACATAATAATAATACTTACCGGTGAAAATATCTATCTGCATAAGTCTTGTGCAGATTGCAAACTTATGTAAGAAGTATCATGCCTTGAAATAGTCTAACACCGCAATTATCTGCAAACACTCGCACTTTTAAAAATAACGCTAAATATACGAATTTAATGACAAGTTTAAAAAATTTACTTATGCCAAATACACTTTGACACTCACTACAGACTATGTTATTCTCATAGAATAAGGAGACAAACAAATCCTTGACTGAATTCGTTGGTGTCACTGGGTTTCACGATTTTCACGAAATATCGGTGCCTTCATAGGAGTGAGATCGTTTATGACCTATGCCTCGACTCATTGAAGGAAGAGAAGCGATTCGTGCCGCGTGACAAAATCACTCGACAATGCTTGATATACGGCTGTCTCTTTCCAACTTCATTGTTGAACACGTATGGCTTCTCTTCTCCTAATGTGCATGCACTTTTAACACTCCTTTCGACAAACTTCAACCAATGTTTAACAATCAAAATCATTGTCAAATCGAACAAAATTATTGTTGAGAACCTTCTTTCGTAGCTAACTAGAATATTATTTACTTATTTTCCATACGTGTAGTTCTTACATCTCCCCTATTTGAAGAGCCTTGATTTCTAACAAAACGTTAGTTTAAAACAGAAAAGAATTGTCGCCAATTCGCAAATACATCAGTATAGGCTGATTTGTAGTCCCGATTAAACATATTTGCATACTTTTACTTCTGTAATCGAGTTTCAGCTACATTCATTTAAATTAACGCCGTATAAGAGGCTAATATATTCGCACCATTTGTTTGATTATTTGTGTACGAGCTTCTCACTTTCAGATGTAGGAATATGCTTAGTGCATATACATGGGCTCCCGAAAGGGGGGGTTAGTTGTTAGAGTCCGCTGGTAAACCGGTTTAAAACACTGATATTTGCATATTTAGCATGATTTTTTGTTCAATTTTGGTGATTTTTAGGTTTTCCTTCCCCTCATGAGAAAATTTGCTACACCCCGCACTTCGAAAACGTTTTAACGCAGGTACACTTTCACAAAGAGTTATCTTGAGAGAATTACTTGCGTGCGCTCATGTGCATATACATAAATACCAACTTGTTGAATTACAAAGAGATGGAAAAGGCTATTCATTATGGAATACCATAATTTTTGTTTTTATAATGCTTCTCAGGTTGCTAATCAGGCGAGCTCAAGTCGCTAATACTTTCTTAGCTTATTTATTGTACTAATACACTGTACAACTTGAAACTTGCAAACATAGCAGTATTCATTACAGATTGCCTTATATTGGATATCTTATTTTCTGATGATTGTTAAATCTACAAAACATATTTACATGTCTTTTGTAATTGACCACAGGTGTCAACTTCATGATTAAGTTCATAGTGCTCATAATCAACTGCAGTGGTCTCTGTTATACTGTATCGGTTCTGCTTACCAACACAATTTCAAAACATTGAAATCATTTGCAACAGGGTCGGAAGACCGGTAAACCAATAAAAAATAAAGGAATTATGATAATCAAGTAAGTGTTTTTTAACAATTGTTCCAGATAACTGTTAGTTTCTTGTTATCAGCATTGTAAAGTAATAATAGCTTATTCAAGGCCGTGCGATAAAACTTGAGTTTTGTGTAGTGCAGCTATAGTCAAATACAAAAATATACTGAGAGATATACTAAAAGCTATAGTAACAATCTATCAACAAAATTTTCGTAACGTTTTCAAAAATAGACCATAATTATGTGTTATGGGCCTATGACATGACAAAGGCGGCAACAGAACTTTCATCAAACTACTACTACACCAGAAGCATTTCCAAAATATGGGGCAAACATTCAAAGGATAATTTTTATCTTACTACGTGTGAAGCTCCTTAATCTAAAAAGCCTCCAATCTTCGAGTCTAGAACGCATGGGCAATCTTCTTCTTATAGACCAAGAAACTGTTTTAAATACCCAGTGTCTTATTGCGTTCAATTCAATTATTTTTCACTGGAATTGTGTAATTCGTATAATTCAATAACGTCCGGACTCCTCGACCTACACCTATACAGTGTAAGAACTCAACAAGTAGTACCCTTACTGAAATTGCAGTGATACTGGAAGGAGAGAAATTTTGAATAGTAAAAAATGTCGCCAAGAACCCTGACTGCAACTTTCCACAACCCTGTCACAAGTTGATAACAGATTATGTCTGTGCAAGTTCAAAAAAAGTCAAATACGAACACGTGTATTATGTGATTTAAACGGACCAAGTCAGTTCTAATTAGTTATCCCTGGAATTTTTTGGTTCAAGTTAGTGAGGTCTGCTTTAGCCTAGAAGAAAACTTATTTTATGTAAGTGTCTGACAGAAGCGTCTGAAATTTTATAATAATTACAAATTCTGAAATGATGCAAGACTTTGCGCATTTTCTCTCAAATTTATTGATGTAGATGCACTAAAAACACCTGGATTCTCCCTTATGCGTGGGAACCAGCTCGCCTATATTTTTACATCAAACTGGTAAGTGACTGTACCATGTAAATAAATCATTAACTGCAGGAATCCGCATTTTAAACTACGTTAGTTGCGAGTAGTCAGGCAAAGGTTAGATTATGTAAAACCATGTTGCAGATTGCAGGAAACTGACTGAAGGTAAAAACGAAAGATTTCATGAAAGCTATACTTAGGAACGTTTTAAACACGTGAGGACTCTGATCGCGTAATATGTATGTTGGAACTTGGAGCTAAGTATGAAAAAGAGAAAAACAAGAGGAATGACGTGCAACAGCATATTACTAGCAGGATCAAAAAGATATTGTAATAGCTTAATATAATTAACTACATTATATGGACAATGCTACCATTCAAGTGGACATTTTTCCACTGCTATCTTTTGGATCTTTCCAATATCTACAATCAGCTGTTATATTGTACTGTCGTCACAGGATTAATTTTAGTTCCCATGCGAATTGGCGACGAAGTATTGTAATCGCAGAAATTTTCAAAATTAGATATTATGTTTGTTGGATGTTACATGACACGTATATAGATCAGGAAAAACCATGCCACTCATTTCTCTCCATCTGCCTGTATGTTTGTCCATATGTCGGTCTATCGGTCTGTCTGTCCGGTAATGTTTGACCTCTCTATAGCTTGGTAGTTATAGAATATAGAGGGATCAAGTGGTGAAAATTAGAAGCGGTGTGGGATGTAAACATTGCATCTTTGGTATCAGTGAATGACTATATACGAAGCTTCTGATCTCGGCTACTTTACGCATCTGTCAGATATAATAGTAATTAAATCAGTTAAATCACGCTGCAAATTAAAGGTCTCAAGTACTCCGTGTAACCACCCAACACTGAAATTCTGACCCATCGGGTCGTCAGGCCACCCAGCGCCACTCGTCCATATTTCTACTGCCTAGGGTCGGTTTCCCTCCCTACCGGCGGCATTCGTCACATGTATGTTTTCTTTCATTAAACTGAGCATAGTCTAATTGATGACAAAACTGTGTGGGAAGTATGAGTCATCATGCTGGACGCCGTTTTTTTTAAATGTATATAATACGATCGTCCTTGTATCAGTACTGACATATCTTGAATATTTTATTTTGATTCAGATCATTATTATCTTATTAGTTGTAGAAGGAGTAAATGATACTTATTAGGTCCATAATCAAAGACTACATCTTTTTTGTGCTTAGCTAAGTGTGATTTTGTGACTTTAATATCGTAAAATTATGTGCTGATGAAAATACGGTGTAAAATATCTCGGCATTTTTTACGAGTCCATAACAAAAAAAAGTCAAATATCGATTATAAGAATTACAGGCTTATTGATCTACCCTCTGCGATCAGAAAGTTGATATAGTAATGCATCAATAGGGAGTAGTGCAATTTGGTTTCTGAGCAAGGGTAGATTTTCTGAGACCAAGAAGTTACTAGTCAATTGGTGAGGGCTTTGTCATTGGTTGTAATGTTTTCAATCAATTGTGACATGTTCAGACCAGAATTTCAGAGAAAAAAATGTGTACCGGTTTTTACAATATAAACATATTCTTAAGCGTAACCAAAAATGCCCTTTATACATACAGTTTTGCTGGGTAACCGTTTAGTCACCATCAAAGTTCTAAAGATACATTTTTCTATGTGTTCAAAAACTACGACGTGTTGGTAAAAACTGCTTCAGAGAAGAGTTGGATATCATGAAAATCTTCTGTAACCACAAATTTTCT